TCTGTATTTAATAAAACCCTTTGCGAATATACAACACAAGAAATGTATATAGTAAGTAGAAAAACTAAAGTGGTAAAAATATTTCGTGTTTTATTAATGTGGCCATAATGGGTTGTCAACCTAACAAAGCTTACCAACAGTATTTGTGCGTAGACATGTGTATACCATGCTTAATCACTCGTCAAGCTGTTTACCTGTCTGTGTTGACAGGTTTATCATTAGTTTATGTTAGTCTAGTTATGGTCCTTTGATGTCGGCAATAAATAAAGATGATATACATAACAGACGCGTGCACTGACTTGTAGTGTAAATGATGTCTGGTAACGGTCATCGACTCGGGGACCGTGTTGGTCAAACCTTATAAGCTTATCGACCACATACCACAAACCTTTCTTTATGTTTCAAATATATTGACATTCAAAACTGTAGCTTGTTTGGTTCATCATCACGACCATATCGCAGCCTCCCAAAATACACACACATACACTACACGCATGCATCTTGCACACATGGGAGGCCGTCCTTAAATGACCTTTGCTGTTAATAGGACGTTAAACAAAATCAAACAAACAAACAAAATCATCATCATATAAACAGCTTAAGGCATGCTACGAAATCGATTGCTTTTCAATGCTATGTGCTAATTCAAGAATATTGAAGCTATAACACCTTGCATACCACATTGATATACAATATGCTGATCGGGGCGATGATAAATACTCATATTTTTTTCAAGAAATTTACATATTTCAAAAGCTAATTATAAGGTGATCAAAGAAATATTTTATATATGGTTTTTAGCTTGCTGTAAGTAGTTATATGGTCGATTTAACATATTTATTATAGCCGTAGGATACATTGTTTAAGAGGGATTTTACGACTCCCTTCATGAATTATAGTTGATGTATCGGCATGCCTGTATATTAATAATGCATCAATAGTAAGATATCAATTACCCCTGTGACGAAGATTATCATCGAATTCCTAGTATATTCTGACGTTTATATTTTGAACCGTAAATGAAGTATGTGCGTTGTTATGCGTAACGGGAAAAACATTATGTTAAAACAATACGAACCGAATAGCAAAGACTTACTTTGAGTTAATATTAAATAATACAGTCAAGCTTTCTCTAGAGATCTCCCCTATTAAAAGATAAATTTACAACATCCAGTCAGTGTTAGTTCATATTAACTGATCTTGTATTAAGTAAGTTACCACATTACTGACTTCAATCAATCTTTCCAATTTCCATTGTGTGTTGTAACACGTCAGTTGCCGTCAGTGGTTAGTGCAATAGTTAATAGTACAAATAAAAACAAATTATTGATACTGACATAATTTATTTCTCCGTCTAACCTAATATGTAATGAAAATTTAAAAATAAATCTGTACGAATATAAATCATCAAAAACTGTTTCTGGATTTGGGACTGTTACTCAATGACTCATACAGTAAATGCACACGAAATATGACTAATGAACAGGTCTCTTATGTGTTCATGACGAACATCTTAAACGGAACATGAATATACTATTTATGTCTGCTTTCTTTTCAATAAATGTAAATTAATGTTTTTACAAATTTAGTTTGTAATGGGTAATGTTCCCACTTTTTGCGAAATGAAAATCTCCAATTTAAAATATATTAACTTTCACGTAGAAACGATCGTCTATTATTAACTGAACAAAGCATTTAGACTGACACGATATATCTACCTTTCCATCATCGATTTATTTATTCATACTATCACATTTCATTTATATATATACTTAGTCACCTTTGGAATTAAATCATTAATCATATCTTAAGCACTTCTTGAATTATCAAATTTAATACCGGGCACATGTGTGCGGAAAAATATCTTGAAAATATATCTTTTGTTAATACAGCAAAGCGCTAAATTCCATGTTTCTGTCCTGACCGGGAAAACACAAATTTAACACTTATATAGTATAGGTTTCGGAACACGTGTCGTCGTTTGTTATTTATCATCTGAAATGTTATCTATTGCATCCGTTATAATAACTGTTGACAAGACGTGATCGATATCACTTCGTTTCGTGGTGAATATCTGGATACAATATTTCACCACAATTGTTCCCTTTTACTTGACATATAACCAGCACAGCTGCCTTCAATATGTCCGGCGGAGTGATTCATATGGTTAGCAAAAATCTTATTGTAAAGACCCATCATATAGTTAGCATGAATCTTATTGTAAAGACCCATCATATAGTTAGCATAATTCTTATTGTAAAGACCCATCATATAGTTAGCATAATTCTTATTGTAAAGACCCATCATATAGTTAGCATAATTCTTATTGTAAAGACCCATCATATAGTTAGCATAATTCTTATTGTAAAGACCCATCATATAGTTAGCATAATTCTTATTGTAAAGACCCATCATATAGTTAGCATAATTCTTATTGTAAAGACCCATCATATAGTTAGCATAATTCTTATTGTAAAGACCCATCATATAGTTAGCATAATTCTTATTGTAAAGACCCATCATATAGTTAGCATAATTCTTATTGTAAAGACCCATCATATAGTTAGCATAATTCTTATTGTAAAGACCCATCATATAGTTAGCATAATTCTTATTGTAAAGACCCATCATATAGTTAGCATAATTCTTATTGTAAAGACCCATCATATAGTTAGCATAATTCTTATTGTAAAGACCCATCATATAGTTAGCATAATTCTTATTGTAAAGACCCATCATATAGTTAGCATAATTCTTATTGTAAAGACCCATCATATAGTTAGCATAATTCTTATTGTAAAGACCCATCATATAGTTAGCATAATTCTTATTGTAAAGACCCATCATATAGTTAGCATAATTCTTATTGTAAAGACCCATCATATAGTTAGCATAATTCTTATTGTAAAGACCCATCATATAGTTAGCATAATTCTTATTGTAAAGACCCATCATATAGTTAGCATAATTCTTATTGTAAAGACCCATCATATAGTTAGCATAATTCTTATTGTAAAGACCCATCATATAGTTAGCATAATTCTTATTGTAAAGACCCATCATATAGTTAGCATAATTCTTATTGTAAAGACCCATCATATAGTTAGCATAATTCTTATTGTAAAGACCCATCATATAGTTAGCATAATTCTTATTGTAAAGACCCATCATATAGTTAGCATAATTCTTATTGTAAAGACCCATCATATAGTTAGCATAATTCTTATTGTAAAGACCCATCATATAGTTAGCATAATTCTTATTGTAAAGACCCATCATATAGTTAGCATAATTCTTATTGTAAAGACCCATCATATAGTTAGCATAATTCTTATTGTAAAGACCCATCATATAGTTAGCATAATTCTTATTGTAAAGACCCATCATATAGTTAGCATAATTCTTATTGTAAAGACCCATCATATAGTTAGCATAATTCTTATTGTAAAGACCCATCATATAGTTAGCATAATTCTTATTGTAAAGACCCATCATATAGTTAGCATAATTCTTATTGTAAAGACCCATCATATAGTTAGCATAATTCTTATTGTAAAGACCCATCATATAGTTAGCATAATTCTTATTGTAAAGACCCATCATATAGTTAGCATAATTCTTATTGTAAAGACCCATCATATAGTTAGCATAATTCTTATTGTAAAGACCCATCATATAGTTAGCATAATTCTTATTGTAAAGACCCATCATATAGTTAGCATAATTCTTATTGTAAAGACCCATCATATAGTTAGCATAATTCTTATTGTAAAGACCCATCATATAGTTAGCATAATTCTTATTGTAAAGACCCATCATATAGTTAGCATAATTCTTATTGTAAAGACCCATCATATAGTTAGCATAATTCTTATTGTAAAGACCCATCATATAGTTAGCATAATTCTTATTGTAAAGACCCATCATATAGTTAGCATAATTCTTATTGTAAAGACCCATCATATAGTTAGCATAATTCTTATTGTAAAGACCCATCATATAGTTAGCATAATTCTTATTGTAAAGACCCATCATATAGTTAGCATAATTCTTATTGTAAAGACCCATCATATAGTTAGCATAATTCTTATTGTAAAGACCCATCATATAGTTAGCATAATTCTTATTGTAAAGACCCATCATATAGTTAGCATAATTCTTATTGTAAAGACCCATCATATAGTTAGCATAATTCTTATTGTAAAGACCCGTAATATCGTTAATATAATTCTTATTGTAAAGACCCATCATATAGTTAGCATAATTATTATTGTAAAGACACATCATATAGTTAGCATAATTCTTATTGTAAAGACCCATCATATAGTTAGCATAGTTCTTATTGTAAAGACCCATCAACACAAGAACGATACCCTTGGCATGACAGTAGATTGATACATGGTAGGAGGCTTAGTCCAATACTGAAATACCAAATTCCTTAAAAATGGCAGTTGTTATTCCCTGCTTAACGTTCAGCATTAAGGGGAATGCCAACAACCGGTTCACCCGTTTTCAGTATAATGTGACCGGGCAGAATGCGGTGCTGGGTGCCTTCGGCATGGTATTTCAGTGAGAGAGCACTATGAAGTCGGCATCAGATCCGCGCTATCACAAGGAGGCAAGCACACCAACATACCCTGTATCCTGCATACACACACGCAAGCAGGCATACACTACACACATGGAGGCACGTCCTTAAATGACCTTATCTGTTAATAGGACTTTAAACAAAATAAACCAAACCAAACCAACAGCTGATCCAAATTCTGTCTTATCAACACTGACTAAGGATCTGTCAGGATAAATAATGCAATACTGCCGCTCTAAATCTCGAAACATGCACGGGTGGGGTCCATGAAGTCAACATATGTGTTACAGTAATACTGCAAAAAAAAACTGATTTGTATTATCCTGGCTGATGATTAACTGTACGAGATATACTTGGTAAGATATTGCGACGAGAAAAGTACATTTCTCTTTCTTTTGTTGCAGACGCCGGTATGTACACGTATGTGGGATGTGCAGATGTGGAGATCGTTGACCCAATCCCAGAGATGAACGATGTTCAGTATCTTGAAAGGCGGAAGCGCCAAGCTTTTGATGCAACACAACAAAGTACAACACCAATATCCACTGTCGTAACTTCGCGTGGAACGTCGTTGTCCAGTAGCGACGTGTTATATAGTGGTACATCTTCAACTAACAGTGGCATATCGACTAGCGGTACCACTTCAACCAAAAGTGGCACACCGTCTAGTGGCAGCACTTCAATCAATAGTGGCATACCGTCTAGTGTCACCACTTTAACTAACAGTGGTATATCGTCGAGCGGCACCACTTCAATCGACAGTGGCATATCGTCTAGCAGTACAGCTAACACTAACACTGGCATGCCGTCTAGTGGCATCACTTCACCTAATGGTGTCATACCGTCCAGTGGAACAACTTTCATCAGCAGTGATCTACCATCTAGCGGCACCACTTCCGCCACCAATGGTGTGTCATCGAGTAAAATGATATCAGCTAACACTGGTATGTCACCTGATGGACCATCGTCATCCTTTGGATTGTCATCAGGTTATACAACTTCATCTCAGCCAGACAGTATCACTTCAATTAACACTGACATGTCACCTACCGGTTCAACGTATGCAAACAACGGTATGTCGTCAGGAAACACACCATCCGATAAACAAGGCTTGTCAGCTAATAATTATATCTACTCTACTCCGCGTCATTCTTCCTTCTCAACACAATATGAGAATGCTGCAGACATTCAGAAAAAGGTTGACGGTCACGCAGAAGAAGTTATATCCACGAACATACCGACACGATATGGTAACATGAGGAGGCATAGTTCTACTACACCAGGAAAAGCGTTTTATCGCGGCAACATTGCGGGGGAGTATGGAAGAGCCGCAGACAGCCATACAGAATACCATTTGAGCTCTGGAACAGGTCATCAGGGTGCACATACAACCTCTCATACATCTTCGAGACCAAATGCGGAAACAAGCTACCCAACCACACACACATCCAATAGCCATGCTCATAGTGGCACAGGCGAAACAACGTTCCATTTAAATCCTCAACACAGAGAAAGTGAATCAGTTTTTCATTACTCACCTGACGTTACACATACCCAAACAAGTGAAAGTGTAAAGATATCATCTGCCTCCATAGATGCTAAACAACCTGCGGCAATCCAGCACGCATCTCATGAACCAGTAGATACTGGTACAGGCGAGAAGGTCTTCCATTTTACTCCTGAGGCTGCAAATACCCAACATTCTGAAACAATCTTCCACTTTTCTCCCGACTCCACAAATATAATCCCAGGTGAAACAACACTACAAACATCTCCTCTCTTGGATACCACACGATCTGAAACAACACTCCACACATCAAATGGCCACGTGGATACTAGTACAGGCGAGACGATATTCCATTTTACTCCAGACTCTGCAAATACTCAACCGATGGAGACGATTTCAAGTAAATCTGTTAGCCCTGAACACACTATAACAAGCTCTAACACTGAACCCGCGTCCAAAATAAGAACATTGGACACATTTTCCGCAACGAATGCTAACGAAAGTAATGTGACGGATGCCTATGAAACCACAAAAAATCCCTTTATTACTCTTGCAGTAAATGAGGGTCCAAATCGTGATCAAGAAACTGTTAACAGTCGAACTAAAACCACCAATGTATTACATTTAAGAGAAGAATCATCAACTAGCAGTAACAGTCACACGGATGGCGTCACCAACGAAAACTTTGTGACAACGACACCATCTGGAATAACCTTTGCAGTTAATGAGGGCCCCGATAGAGGTGTCCCGTTACACGCTGACCTTAGGACCGCTGCCACTAACTCCCTTCATGTAAGAGGGAAGGAAATGACAACATCTGGCTCTGATCATGAAACAGCCTCGTCTATGACACAACATGGGGTGACATCTTCAAGCTCGCACCAAGTGGCGACATCAACAGGGCAGTTACAGAATATGCAAACAGGTAACTCCAAATCGTTAACCATAGGATCAGGTGGAACGACAACTTCTAACGCTCACAATGAAACTGTAATAGATACCAATATCCCAGGGGCGACATCTTCCGGAGACTCACTGACAGTCACGTCTACCGTCAACGAAGCTGGATCTGGAGTATCCACGCAACAAAGCTTAAACGGAATCAGTTATAACCTACCGGCTATGGAGAGGGCTTCGGGAGACACGAACAGTCAGGTCAATGCTGAACAAAGATTTTTAGTAACTTCCGGGTCTGTTAATACTGACCAAAGTATTCGGTATGACAATCCTATGCCAACACATGCCGAACATGCTATTCGGGTCGAGGAAAATAAAGTTCATGGATCCGGTATCGTTGATAATGTTTATTCTTATCCTGCCGACAATCCAGCAGCACAGGAAACTAACACGCCCATCAGCGACACGGCATTGAGTCACTCACAAACAACAAAATATGTTGACGGCTTTGTGACGTCGGGAATGGGATCTGCCTCCTCCCTTCCAGATAGCGCTAGTTCATCAAGTGGTGTTACTATGGAACGTTACAACAAGGCGTCTGGTGACGGAGTATCCATGCTCGGTGATTTCTCCATGGATGCATTGGTTCTGGCGGACCACAAAGTGTCTCATACAAATATACCAGACCCTTATGGTATTCCGATAGGAGGACTTATGGCAAATAATGGTGTACCTGGCCCGACGACTGGACGTATAATGGAAAATGCTATTCCGGTAAGCGGTTCAGATTATCAGTCCAGTAGTGTAGTACTTGCCGAAAATACAGTGGTAGGCGGGGCTGTTCCTGTATCAATGAGCAGTGGATCATCGCACGTAGGAGCCAGTGGTCTGTCTACGGCCGGATCAATGACAGAACAACAATCACATTCCACAAACACTCACTTTATTCCTCCTGTTCCATCAAGTCTGCGCTCGGATCTAACAGATAATATTAATGTAGTACCCCTAAATGATGCCACGTACGCATCACAAACTGGCGTAGGCCATCAAAATACCGAGAGTACTAATGGAATAATAGTCGGCAATGGGCCAACCGTAAGCCATCAAACGGGCACTGGTTTGATAGATCATGGCAGGTCTACTGCCGATGCTTCTACCAGTAGTTCTACATCCGGTGACAGTGCATTTCAGAATAACCAGGGACTTCCCACAGGACAACGGATAACCAGTAGCAGTTTTACAACCGTTTCAGCAGTAAACAACCGTAAGACATCAGGATCCGACACATTTACTGGAGGACAAGCTACAAATCTTGGTTCTGGTGCCATAGGACGTGCAACTGATCATAATTCCGGCATAAGGACGGGAGAAACAGTGGAGTATACATCTGGTGCTAGTGCTGGACAAATAACATACAATGGTGTTGATACGAGTACTGTACAAAATATGGATCTTATTTCTGGCGATGGTATTGGACAAACAACAGATTATACCGCTGGCGCAAATACGGGCCCGACAATATATCAAACTTCTGGCGCGGGTACAGGACAAGCAATCGATTATACCTCTGGTGTCAGTACGGGGGATATATTTGATTCAAGCGCCAGCACTGGACAAATAATGGATAGAAATTCTGGCACCAACACGAATATAAGACAAACATTGACTCATGATTTTAATGTAAGTACGGGACAAATATTAGATACTACTGGTGCGAATTTGGAACAATTCATGAACCATGGTGCCAGTACAGGACAAACAATGGATCATATGTCTGAGGGGAATAAAGGCCAAGCTATTGATCATGGTGTTGGCGTAGGTACCGCACAAACAATGGATCATGCAACCAACGATAGAATGGGACACGTAACATACCAAACTTCTGGCACCAGTACGGGGGAAACCATAGATCGCTCATCTGGCGCGAGTATGGGACAGGCGATTGATTTTACGTCTGGGACCATTGCGGGACAAACAATGGATCATACTGCAGGCGCCAGAACCGGACAACCAATAGATCACACACCAGGCACCAGTGCCAGACAAACATTGGATTATATATCTGATGCAAGTACGGGACGAACAATCGATCACACATCGGGCGCCACTACGGGACAAACAATTGATTATACCACTGGCGCCAGTACAGTACAAATAAGGGATCACGGTGTTGGCGAAAATACTTTACAATCCATGGATCATACTTCTGGCAATATAATTGGACAAACAACAGAGTATAACTCTGGCGCAAGTACCGGAGAAAGAATTATTTATTCTGAAGGTAAAGCTACTCTGCAAACACTTGATAAAATGTCTGGAGGGGACATTGGGCAATCATCAGATCATGGTATCGGCGCTAGTATAGGCCAAACAATGGATCATACATCTGGTACTAGCATGGGACAGAGAATGGATTATACTTCCAACTCTCATACGAATATTGGGGAAACAATGGATCATGGTATTGGCGCCAGTGCGGGACAAACGATAGATTATAATCCCGAGGCCAGTGTGGGACAAATAATAGAACATAGTTCTGGTTCAAATACGTTGCAAACACAAACGGACCATGCTTCTGGCGGAAATATAGGTCAAACAATAGAATATGCTTCTGGCGCCAGTACAGGAAAAGCAACAGACTATTCTGCTGGCGTCAGTACAGGGCAAGAAATGTATCATACTTCTGGCGCTAATATTGGGCAAACGATTGATCATACGTCTGGCTCGAGTTCTGGCCAACTTCAGATTCATGACCTACCACCCGCAAGTACTGCACAAGTATTGGATCATGCCACTAGCGCTAATACAGGACATACATTAGAATATACATCCATGAACCATGGCGATGGCACCAGAACAGGACAAACGATTGATCATATGACGACTGGGGGGGATATAGGCCGAGCCATTGGACATGTTGTCGCAGGTACCGTACAAACGATGGATCACAAAACAGGCGATAGAAGGGGACAAGAACCATATCTATCATCTGGAGCCATTACGGGCGAAACAGTGGATTATACCTCAGGCTCAAGTACAGGCGAAACCGTGGATCATACATCCGGCGCATATACGGGACAACCCACGGATTATTCTTCAGGCGTTAGTACGGGTCAAACAATGAATTATTCCTCAGGCGTTAGAACGGGCCAAACAATAGATTACAACAACTTTGGCGCAAATGAGGACCACACGGTGGCTCATACATCTGGCGGCAGTACGGGCCAAACATTCGATCATGCTGCTGGCGCCGGTACGGGACAAGTCATGGATTATACCTCTGGAGCCAGTACGGGACACATGATGGATCATACTTCTGGCGCCGGTACGGGACAAATTACGGGTTATTCATCTGGAGCCATTACGGGCGAAACAGTGGATTATACCTCAGGCTCAAGTACAGGCGAAACAGTGGATCATACATCTGGCGCATATACGGGAAAACCAAAGGATTATTCTTCAGGAGTCAGTACGGGACAAACCACGGATTATTCCTCAGGCGTTAGTACGGGTCAAACAATGGATTATCACAACTCTGGCGCAAATAAGGGCCAAACATCTGGAACGAATACGGTTACAACTCAGATTCATGATCTACGTGCAGACAGCACTAAACCAAAAATAGCTCATACTTCTGGCGATAATATGGGACAAACAACAGAATATACTTCTAACGTAGGTACGGGACAAACAATTGATCATACTACTGACAGCATAAAAGGACAAACCATGAGTCATACTTCTGAGGGCTCTACAGGACAAACAATGGGTCATACTTCTGACGGCTCTGCAGGACAAACAATGGGCCATACTTCTGACGGTTCTACAGGACAAAACGTACACTATTCTACTGCCAGTGTTACAGGACAAACAATGGACCATACTTCTGATGGTTCTACAGGACAAACAATGGGCCATACGTTTGACGGCTCTACAGGACAAACAAATGGTCATACTTCTGATGGCTTGTTAGGACAAAGCGTACACTATTCTACTGACAGTGTTACAGGACAAACAATGGATCAATCATCCGGGACTTACGCAAGAAAAACAACGGATAAGAGTTCTGGCACTGGGACCGATACGAATGGATCAATTAGACGCACAACAACAATAGAAGGGGTGTCAACCTTTACCACACCAGTTGTATCAACTACCAACCAACAATTATGGTCTGAATCTGGGAATAGCCCGGGTACAACTGGACCGGAGGCTGCAGGTATGCCAGAATCTGTCTCTACATTGAATCATGTGACATCATCGACGTCATCGATGACGGGTTCCACCCAGCAAGGAAGTGGATACGATACGAATCCAGATATTCAAACAGGGATAGATTCAACACGTGGGTTTACTACACAAGCCTTACACACCAATGAGGGCTCGATAGCTACGTCATACGAAGGTTCAGCTCAATCCAGAGGATCTGGCGGGACTGGAATAGATAACATCCAGACAATATCAGGAGGTACTGAAGGATCTTCAGGCCATTCACAAGAATTTGTGACAGAAACTATGGGGAATGGCGGCTTTAAAATCAGGGATCAAGGATTAGCGGAAGGTCCTTGGGCAACCGGCCTTGTAACCGACGCCGCGACAATTACCAATAGTCATGAGGCAGGATTAGGTACGGTTTCTGGTTTTAGCCAAATAGAACAACATAGTTCTAATGTTGTATATAAAGACATATCTCCTGGTTCAGCAAGCGATGGATCTTCTTTCATTTCTGGTCAAACGTCTCGCTCAGGACAAGGCACGGCGAACACTCTCATGACAAATTCCAATTTGGCAAATAATGCGTTTGGCGAAAACCAAATCACTCCGTTCAGGTCTGGTGATTCGGGACAGGAAATAGGTAGTTCAGCGTTCGGTGCTGAAGGTTACTTAGCAACCGACACATATTTCCCCAACATCAAAAATGATGGAACGAAGTCGTCAACAAATACCGGAGGTGCAACCTTTGTCGCAAATGAAGTAAAAGGACAAAATTCCGTCATCGGCTTTATACCACCGGTTCCGAACGCCTTACATGGTACTATGTCAGGTGGCAATAAGGTTGTTCTAAAACAAAGTGATGTATACCACAGTTCGACAGGCTCCAGCGGAACCCATGACATGAACAGCGGAAGTGGAGTTGAATCACAATCGATCCATGGTAATATTGGTTCAATTTCTGACAACATTTACGATGCTGGTGCTCAGATGTCGGTTCAACCGGTTGTAAATACCATCATACAAAAAGGTGAAATTTCAAGTTCTGTCGGTGAATCTGGTTCGCGGAATATCAATTTTGGAAAAATCGTCAACGGAAGTGTGACCGCAAATAACAGGGCTGATGCCACGTTAAGCCCAGATGTACAGGTTATAAGAAACAAAGACAATCAAATTGTTTCCGCAAATTCACCAAATCATGAATTGCTATCAACAAACACCAAACCTGTTGATCAAGATAAATATCATCAGACAGATCACGCTTCGACAGTCACGACGGAAACACATTCTTCAACTTCCGGTTATACACACGACACACCGACTCTTACCAATGACCAAAGTGGACGGCAGGAATCACGTGTGCACCAGTCCACTTCATCTGTTACTACCGAGACTAAACCCGTACCTATCGTAGGAAACGGTGACCTACCGGCCAGTTTGCCAGATTACGTTAAAAATCAATCGGGTACTGCTGCTTCTGACGGGATCATTTTTACGAAAACCACTTTGCGAGAATCAAGTTCAACGTCACAGCAATTAAGCAGTGCAACACCGAGCACTGTATATGAAAATACAAGACAGCAAAGTAACAGAGGTATCGATGCTGTGATTGGGTCCAGTACAGCCGGTCCAGTCGACCAACCTAATTACACCGACAATGCAGTTGCATATACTACCGAGGGATCAGTAACTACCAACAAAGTGACCTCTGGTAAACAGTTGTCGACACAGGTGGTGAGAGTTGTAGATGTACCCAACGTGATCCGTGAGCCACCCGACATGGCAAATCCACCTGACTTTCACACGGTAACGGCTCCCGGAGCTCTGTTACACACACCTTCCGACGTACAAAAGAACGTCGACATGACGTCGCTTATAGCTTTTACAGAAATCCAAAGTATTGTAGACACTGCTAATCAACAGAACATGAGCGACAGTGCCTCGTCAGCCAACGGAAGTGGACATATAATGTCAGGCGATGGTAATGTTAACAAGCTTGTTCTGGATACTGCAAATACTGTAGAGAAAGCGGCAAATCTTGTTGCAGGCGGAGACTATCAGCCAACGTATGATATACATTCTTCATCCAACAGAGAATATGCTTCTCCTACTGCTGACACAGGGAATGCGTATACCAATTACACCGAACCTGAATTAAATGCTCATACTGCCTCAGTGAATGAAGTCAACATACTTAGTTCGTCAACTTCTGAAAATCAGGGTCGGGTTGACAATATTTTAACACCGATTCCAAGCGACCGTCCTTCAGATATCATGGTGGTGAGGCCATCAGATTCGGCGGTACATTATGCACCTAATGTTCCAAATAGTGTGGATATAACATCTTTAGAAGCATTTACCGAGATTCGTAGTGTAATGGGAACAACAAACCAAGAGTCAGATAGGTTCCTTGACTCCCAGGGGGTGTCAACTTCTGACTCTTACATGAATTCAAACAGTAGTTCACCTGATTCTTATATGGGTACCCACGCCGGTATACAGGGTGATCAACTGTCTAACAACCAAGCCACTCTTGTCGATTATCATGGTTTGACTACAACTGAACCCCATATAAACACAAACTCTGCTGATACAGGAACAGCGTCCACACAGACATCACGTGTAACGGTTGGTTATACCACGGCTGAGTCCACGCCTCGTCCAAATTCCGATGCTGCAGCCCAAAATATAATTGATGTATCTGTACAGAACCATGTGTACGATACCCACGCAGACGCTACTACAGACAATTATGCTGAAAATACTGCACTGCCTTCTTTTGATAACGTGTCCGATAACCGAAATCAAAATTCGCCTGCGGGAACGGATATAAAGAACGTTAATACGTGGACTTTGCGAGAAATACACACGACAACGGAAGTTCATAACACTGTTGATACGTCTAACGGCCCAATAACCTCCTTTCCGCATCAAGAACAGTACATGTCTTCTGGGCAGGGTATGGCTACTCGCCATGTAGGGAAAGATGTGACTGGTCAGGGCGTCGATGCAAGTCTCACTGCAACTACTTACCAGCAACTGCTGGACAGTGTTTCTGGCCAAGGGACCTATACAGGCCTAACAGAGTCATCTCAACAAAACGATATCCTAACCTCTGGTCGCGGCCTTAATGCAGTGCTCACAGATAAATATTCGCACCAGGAAGGCCTCGCATCTGGCAACAGCGTCGATACAGGTTATATAGAATCATCTCGTTATCAAGATGGCCTGACATCTGGCAACGGCGTTGATGCAAGTCTTAAAGGACCATCTGAACACCAGGGTGGCTTGAAGTCGGGTCATTATGTTGAAACAAGCATCACAGAGAGATATTCACCTAGCAACGGCGTCGATATAGGATTTCGGCAGCAAGCGGGTGTGGCATCTGGTCACAGCGTTGACACAGGCCTTAAAGACTCATCTCAACAAAAAGGGAGCGTGGTATCTGGTTCCGGCGTTGATACAGGCCTGACTGAATCAACACAATACAAAATAGACAGGGCATCTACTCATGGCGTTGGTACTGCCCTTACAGATTCATCTCTACACCAAGGAGGCGTGGCATCTGGTTCCGGCGTTGATACAGGCCTTATTGAATCAACTCAATATCACGGGGACATGACATCTAGTCATGGTGTTAATGCAGGCCTCATGGATTCTTCTCAACACCAAGGAGGCGTGGCATCGGGTTCCGGCGTTGATACAGGCCTTACAGATTCATCTCTACACCAAGGGGGCGTGGTATCTGGTTCCGGCGTTGATACAGGCCTTATTGAATCAACTCAATATCACGGGGACATGACATCTAGTCATGGTGTTAATGCAGGCCTCATGGATTCTTCTCAACACAAAGGAGGCGTGGCATATGGTTCCGGCGTTGATACAGGCCTTCTTGAATCAACTCAATATCACGGGGACATGACATCTAGTCATGGCGTTAATGCAGGCCTCATGGATTCCTCTCAACACCAAGGAGGCGTGGCATCTGGTTCCGGGGTTGATACAGGCCTTATTGAATCAACCCAATATCACGGGGACATGACATCTAGTCATGGTGTTGATGCAGGCCTCATGGATTCTTCTCAACACCAAGGAGGCGTGGGATCGGGTTCCGGCGTTGATACAGGCCTTATTGAATCAACTCAATATCACGGGGACATGACATCTAGTCATGGTGTTGATGCAGGCCTCATGGATTCTTCTCAACAACAAGGAGGCGTGGCATCGGGTTCCGGCGTTGATACAGGCCTTATTGAATCAACCCAATATCACGGGGACATGACATCTAGTCATGGTGTTGATGCAGGCCTCATGGATTCTTCTCAACACAAAGGAGGCGTGGCATCTGGTTCCGGCGTTGATACAGGCCTTATAGATTCATCTCAACACCAAGGCGGCGTGCTATCTGGTCACGACATCAACACAGGCCTAGTTGAATCAGCGTCACACCAAGTTGGCACGATTTCTGGTAAAACCATAAATACCAGTAGCAATGCTAACGCCAACAGAACAGACATGAACAGTGCAAGTTTGAAAGATTTATCTAAGATTCAGGAAAATGGAAGTAATGCAGATACAACTACAACGTCATCGTCTAGTGTTACAGAAGGAACAACGAGAGTCAAGTATGAATCTTCTCATATACCAGTGATATCTGGTAACTCTCAAAAACAAGCAGTTGTTGATTGGCATTCTTTAAATGCGTTGACTGAAGTTCGGAGCAGCACAGGCCCATCTGGTGTTGAACATGGGAGCGGCATGACATCAGAAGGACCAGTCTCCTATACAACGAAACAAGGTACCACTCAGTTGTATACAGTTAATCCAACTGAAAACACAAAGGCAACTACGACTCTGTTTGAAAGTATGGGTATATCAAACAATCAACACGAAGCAACAGGAAAACAGAAAGATCAATTCACAAATAAAGCAACACAGACGTCTCAATTTGAAACAACAGGGACACCGAGCTATCAATTTGAAGCAGCAGGGTCGCCGACAGGTCAAATCGAAAGTGTTGGGGTAGCCAGCAATATGGAAACAACGGGTACGCAAAACAATCAATTCGATCGTCCTGGGACTCTGACAGGTCAATTTGGAAATTTGAGCACAGCCACAAATAATTTGGAAACTGGAGGACAGTTGAGTTATCAGTCTGAAAGAAAAGGAACCAAGACATCTCAGTTTGAAACAACTGGATCAAACAGCAATCGATTCGAAAGTGCAGGGGTGCCGACAGATCAATATGAAAGTGTTGGAACGGGGGGAATTTCCACTACTCTGTTTGAAACGATTGGGATACAGGGGTCCAAATTTGAGACAACAGGAATGCCAAGCAATCAACTCGAAAGTACAGAACCGCTGACAGGTCAATATGAAAGTTTGGGAACAGCCAACAATATGAAAACGGGAGGAATATCCGGTACTCATTTTGAAGGTATACGGACACAGGGATCTCAATTTGAAACATCGGGAACGCCGAGCAATCAACTCGAAAGTACAGGAACGTTGCAAGGTCAATATGAAAGTTTGGGAACAGCCAACAATATTGAAACGGGAGGAATATCCAGTACTCATTTTGAAACTATTGGGACACAGGGATCTCAATTTGAAGCATCAGGAACGCCGAACAATCAACTTGGAAGTACAGGAACGTTGCAAGGTCAATATGAGAGTACGGGAATTGCCAACAATATGGAACCGGTAGGAATATCCAGTACTCATTTAGAAACTATTGGGACTAAGGGATCTCAATTTGAAGCAACGGGAACGCCGAGTAATCAACTCGAAAGTACAGGAACGATGCAAGGTCAATATGAAAGTACGGGAATTGCCAACAATATGGAACCGGTAGGAATATCCAGTAACCATTTAGAAACTATTGGGACCCGGTGATCTCAATTTGAAGCATCGGGAATGCCGAGTAATCAACTCGAGAGTACAGGAACGTTGCAAGGTCAATATGAGAGTACGGGAATTGCCAACAATATGGAACCGGTAGGGAAAGTACAGGAACGATGGAAGGTCAATATGAAAGTTTGGGAACAGCCAACAATATCGATACGGGAGGAATATCCAGTACTCACTTAGAAACTATTGGGACTAAGGGATCTCAAGTTGAAGCATCGGCAACGCCGAGTAATCAACTCGAAAGTACAGGAACGTTGCTCGGTCAGTATGACAATTTGGGAACAGCCAACAATATCGAAACGGGAGGAATATCCAGTACTCATTTTGAAGGTATACGGACACAGGGATCTCAATTTGAAACATCGGGAACGCCGAGTAATCAACTCGAGAGTACAGGAACGTTGCAAGGTCAATATGAAAGTTTGGGAACAGCCAACAATATTGAAACGGGAGGAATATCCAGTACTCATTTTGAAACTATTGGGACACAGGGATCTCAGTTTGAAGCATCAGGAACGCCGAACAATCAATTCGAAAGTACAGGAACGTTGCAAGGTCAATATGAGAGTACGGGAATTGCCAACAATATGGAACCGGTAGGAATATCCAGTACTCATTTAGAAACTATTGGGACTAAGGGATCTCAATTTGAAACATTGGGAACGCCGAGCAATCAACTCGAAAGTACAGGAACGTTGCAAGGCCAATATGAAAGTTCGGGAATTGCCAGCAATATGGAACCGGTAGGAATATCCAGTACTCATTTAGAAACTATTGGGACTAAGGGATCTCAATTTGAAGCATCGGGAACGCCAAGTAATCAACTCGAAAGTACAGGAACGTTGCAAGGCCAATATGAAAGTTCGGGAATTGCCAGCAATATGGAATCGGTAGGAATATCCAGTACTCATTTAGAAACTATTGGGACTCGGGGATCTCAATTTGAAGCATCGGGAACGCCGAGTAATCAACTCGAAAGTACAGGAACGTTGCACGGTCAATATGAAAGTTCGGGAATTGCCAGCAATATGGAATCGGTAGGAATATCCAGTACTCATTTAGAAACTATTAGGACTAAGGGATCTCAATTTGAAGCAACGGGAACGCCGAGTAATCAACTCGAAAGTACAGGAACGTTGCAAGGTCAATATGAAAGTACGAGAATTGCCAACAATATGGAACCGGTAGGAATATCCAGTACTCATTTAGAAACTATTAGGACTAAGGGATCTCAATTTGAAGCAACGGGAACTCCGAGTAATCAACTCGAAAGTACAGGAACGTTGCAAGGCCAATATGAAAGTTCGGGAATTGCCAGCAATATGGAATCGGTAGGAATATCCAGTACTCATTTAGAAACTATTGGGACTGAGAGATCTCAATTTGAAGCATCGGCAACGCCGAGTAATCAACTCGAAAGTACAGGAACGCTGCAAGGTCAATATGAAAGTACGGGAATTGCCAACAATATGGAACCGGAAGGAATATCCAGTACTCATTTAGAAACTATTAGGACTAAGGGATCTCAATTTGAAGCAACGGGAACGACGAGTAATCAACTCGAAAGTACCGGAACGTTACACGGTCAATATGAAAGTACGGGAATTGCCAACAATATGGAGCCGGTAGGAATATCCAGTACTCATTTAGAAACTATTGGGACTGAGAGATCTCAATTTGAAGCATCGGCAACGCCGAGGAATCAACTCGAAAGTACAGGAACGTTGCAAGGTTAATATGAAAGTACGGGAATTGCCAACAATATGGAGCCGGTAGGAATATCCAGTACTCATTTAGAAACTATTGGGACTCAGAGATCTCAATTTGAAGCATCGGCAACGCCGAGTAATCAACTCGAAAGTACAGGAACGTTGCACGGTCAGTATGACAATTTGGGAACAGCCAACAATATCGAAACGGGAGGAATATCCAGTTCTCATTTTGAAGGTATACGGACACAGGGATCTCAATTTGAAACATTGGGAACGCCGAGCAATCAACTCGAAAGTACAGGAACGTTGCAAGGTCAATATGAAAATTTGGGAACGGCCAACAGTATCGAAACGGGAGGAACATCGAGCTATCAACATGAAACTCAAAGCAGTCAACTCAACACGATAGGAACAAACAAAGATCCGTTTGAAGCAACAAATGTACAAACAAAACAACACGTATCGCTGGGATCATCAACTGTTATCGATGCACGGGAGGCTACTCCTACAAATATTGAACCTAACTACAACATTCCAGGTGTTGACGAGCAATTAAAGGGTGGAAACTCACGTTCGATAAACTCTGGCAGTACAATGATGTCAGTAGATAATCTGTCTATGGGAACTGCATTGGACAATACAAATACAGGAAATCAAGCGGCGATGCCATTGCAATCAGGTAATAGTGAAACGGCGATCTCTTCCCACTCTCAGGGAGTTCTATCAGTGACGTCATCCAACCTACAGACCGAACCGGTAGTGACGTCAGTCGACTCTCTAACATATCAAACCAAACCGGATACAGGCTCCATGTCCGATAAACTTCGACTGAGCGACCAGGATGCAATGACTATCTACACGCTTATAAAACAACTGATCGACAAGGCTGGAAGACCAGACCTCGTTCCTGTACTTAACTCTATCATCACAAGCGGGAAGGACATCGCACGCTCCAAACTTATGAAATTCCTGGATATCATCAGTTCACTGGTGACAAGAAAACAACTCCTTACAATTACTAACATAATGACGTCGGCTGGTGATGGTGGGAATTACCGTACAGGTCAGCTCGGCACGGATTTGTTGAGCACAAACATGGAAACAAAAGCTGATACCACAGGTACGTCTTCGATCGGGAATAATTCAAATAGTGGGGGTGTTGCTAATCAAGCTGGATCGTCAGGGTCTGTTGTAACCACTGTCACCACTCATTTCTCCAATCAGGGTCAAAGTTCAAACGGACGGCAAACAAATACAGACATCGGTCCAAATAACATATTAGGTGAGGTTGGTACGGGTCAAACAAATGCCGATGGTTTGGTCATTTCTGGAAATACACATACTCTTGAAACTTCGCACAGCACATCAACGACCGAAGTGAAGAACCCCTCAATCACTGGTCAAGCATCACTGGGACAAAATGTAGATGTCGTTAATACTGGAACGTCAGTTAATAACGTGTTTAGGAATGCAGGCACTTTGACCACAACTACCGGGGAACATTCGCATATGAGCACCGAAACACAGCCTGTATCAGTTGGGAAACATTATTCAGACACTCTTACATTAAATACTGTACCTCAAGACGGTATGTCTGGAACTAGTACTGGGATTGCCGAGAGTACTACGTCAATACATAATGCCATTCAGTCGTCGACGTCTTCAACCTCAAATAATGTGACACCTGTTTACACTGCAGATATGCAAAGCGGTGGCAGCAATTTTATGTCGACCGAGACTGTCAACATGTTCGAATCATCATCAGGAGTTTCTGGTAGCACCGTGGTTCCCGGGATCGGAGAGCCTGCCGGAATGAACAGCAGAGCAGAAGGAACCGTTAATACCTATGACACAACGGGAGCAAACAGCAAGCTAGAGAGAGGTTCCTCATCTACTACATTCGAGGCAACACATATGGGTATAATGGGAAGCAGTGCTCCAGCAACGTCAGAATCAATTGCTTCCTCAAATACTGCATCGCAAGATATCATAACAAGATCTGAAGTTCCGGTAGTTGCTAATGGTGCCAGTTCGGTATCTGAAAACAATAACGTCCTTCTTCAAACGCCCGATCCGTCAACTAGCTCAGCAAGCGGCTCTGATACCATATTAGAGTCGACAGGCGCAGGCTATGTTACCCACGGTCTGCCCCAAGGTGGTGGGTTTGTCGCCGTGGATGCGCTGGGTGTCGAAGGAAACAACCTAGTTGTGCCAGGAACACAAGCGGCGCCTCTGAACACTGGTCTAAAAAGCGATTTATATACTTTAGAGTCTTTCAACTCGAACAATGGGTTGAATACCATAGTCACATCTGGGGAGAACACTGCCAGAAATACGGGGACAAGACGCGGTAGTCTAAACATTAGCGATAAAGTTAGACAATCTACCACTTTGTTAGAGAAATCAAGTTCCAGTGTAAGTATCCCTCTTGTTGCTGGCAGGGTTAGTGGACTAAACGATGTACACAATCAGGGGCTATATACAAACACGGAAACAATCGGAAACACGGGTGAAATAGCTAATGCAAATACCGGAAGTGGCATCTCGCACAGAGAAGGATCTGAGGCAATTGTGCATTCGTCAAGAACAAGCACTGATTTGGACGCAGTCTCATCACCAGTCAACTCTAACCAAGTATTCGATACAGCGTCGCTTACAGAGATGACGAGTCAATTTGCTGCTGGAAGTACGTCACTCGCGGGTGCTGGGACAGATGCTGGAAATAAGAATCTTGGAGATTCGTCGCTCATAGGTGTTGGAGATTCGACGTTAATACAAACCGGAAGTCCAATAGATAGCCGAATAACGCTCACCGAAACTGAAAGTAAGTCAACGGGAGGAACCTGGGAGTCTGGGGCTCCAACACTTACTGAAACTGCAAGTAAACAAAATAGCGGTTCAACGATCGTAGGAACTGGAATTCCAACTCAAAGAGAAGCAGTAGGCTCTTTAATTAGTGGTTCAACAATTAATGAAGCCGGCACTCAGAAACAAATGACATCTGCAGGCAGCGCTTCTTTGAAATCTCAAAAAGGGAGTGCAGCTAGAAACTTTAGGGAAATCCATTCTTCTCCGTCCAACTTTGGTAAAGGAGTGCTTGATACGTTGGCGAACGGTAATGCAGTGATGCAAAAACATAACCTCTTCACAGGCTATAATGATGGCATGGTTGACATAAACACGAATATGTTGGAGTTTGTGCCCAAACACAACGCCTTCACAACGTCCAATTTAATTTCCGTGAAAACTTTACCAAGCACTGGTAATACAATTTCAAATGCTGGTAGTTCCTTGATGCCTGGACACAACATTGATGGGTTTCAAACTGGAATTGAAACAGATATTCATACGCATACACCTGAAACCGTTCCGACAGGACCATTTACAGAAGGTTCATCGCTGTCAACGACAGGTCAGTTTAATGCCATATCGACACAAACAGAAACGGGAAGTCAGTTAAATGGCGGATCAACACTTACAGATACCGGAAACCAGTTCACAGGCGGATCAGTACTGACGGATACCGGAAGTCATTTTTCGGGTGGATCAACGCTGACTGCGACTGGAGGCAAATTACATAGTGAATCAAAACCAGCAGAGACCGGAAACCAGCATAACAGTAGATCAACACTAGCAGAAACTGGACGTCAGTTAGATAGCGGGTTGACGCAGATAAACACTGGCGGTCGATTTAATCAAGATTCTACACTAACCGGAAGTCAGCTTAGTCTGACAGGGACGGCAGATCAGTCCACTGGCAGATTAAATGACGTTTCAACACTGATACAGACAGGCGGTCAGTTAACTGAAGGATCCACGCTGTACGTGGCCGGAGGGCAAATACATGGCGAATCAACAAAGGCAGGGACTGGAGGTCAGATTTATACCGGTTCCACATTGGCAGAGACCGGGAGATTAAATGGCGGATCCGCCCCGTCCGAGACTGGGAGTCAAATTGACGGCATATCAACCCTGACAGAGGCAGGAAGCCTATCTACCGGTGGATCGAAGCTAACAGAGACCGGCAGCGGGTTTAATGCAAGATCAACGCATACAGAATCCGGAGGTCAAATTGCTGGAGGTTCAACAGGAAATGAGGCTAAGAGCGAGTTTGCTGGATCTTCTTTATCAACAGGACTAGGAGGACAGACTGAGAGAATATCGAGTCTGGCAGGGCCTGAAAATTCAGCAGTTACAGGACCTGGGGGCTACTTTTCAGGAAGTTCGACATTAACAGAAGTTTTAGCGGGTCAGCATCCTGGAAGATCAATACGTGATCGGGTAAAGGGACAACACAGCGGAGAAGTCGCTATAACGGGTGTAAATGCATCGGCTGGATCTGCTGATCGTACTTCTGGGGTTTCGACTCTAACAGAAGTAAAAGAACAGTTTAACGGAAGTTTTGATACTCCTTCAATATTGAAAACTAATGAGAAATCTACTGGGCATTCTGGGATTTCGTCTTTGGTTGGAGGGGGACGTATTGGCACCAACACAGTTTTGGGTTCAGAGGCACAGAACATAGGAGGTCTTAACAAACAGTATGAGCATTTGGGAGGATCAGGTGCTGATACTAAGGCTACCTTATTTACTGGTACATTTCCCAACCCTTCGTTGAATGCTATTGGTAGTGATTTTGGGACATCAAACATAATGAGTAACTCTCAGACCAGTTCCTCAAATGTAAATCGCGAACATCTGCTGGGTAACAATATCCTTGCAAGTGAGGGCATCCGACAAAATACAGAGACGTCATTCATGCCACACCAGGAACCTCACAACGCAGTCAATAGCAACACCAGAGTGATAACACGAACGAGCAAAACCTTTTCTTCGAGGACACAAAACCCATCATCGTTTTCAGTCTTGCCACCTCCTCCACACAGTTTTCTCATCCCCGCCCCAGTACATGACCTACTTTTAAAAACCCAGAGACCTTCAACCCGATCATCATCACCGTTGTCTTTCGATCAAATGTCTTCCGGTAGCAGTGTCGGTAACACGCTTGAACGAGCTATAAAACGGACTAGCACGGGATCAACACCTATTACAAACACTCGAGTAACCACAACTTCAACACGATCATTCCAGCCAAACTGGTCAGAAAATGCTCTTGGAAGTGGAATCCAAGCGTCAAGTCATGATTCGAAGAAGCGAACGGGGACTATTCGTTCGTCTTCATCGTCATTGGGGAACACCGCCAGCTCCTCTTTACCACAGAAAAATGCTAATTCGTTATGGGATTTTTCGAAGGATTTGATTAGTCGGAGACAATTGCTGTCTAACGCCAAAGCCCTGGCAAGCATCGGTCTCTTACGAGGTGGCGCAACTGACATCAATAGTATCCTAAATAGCTTGTCTGGTATTGGTTCGTCTAACACACTTCTGTCGAGAACGGCGTTTAATACGCAACCAGCAGAGACCGCCATTGCTCTTGATTCTCCCATGTCGGTCACGTCCCTTGTGATGTCTCGAGCTAACCGTTTTAATAGTCCCGCAAGGTCTACGGCGGAACAAAGGCGACTTGAAAATATATTAAACGGCAGAATGACTACTAATATTCCGTCTTTAAGTTATTCGGTTGTCTCGCAATCTCCCAATGAAATTGTTAAGACTACTAAGCATACCTCGACATCACTAACGTCATCAAGCCTTCCGCCAATTTCGTCCGGTCTGAATTCGGTGATATCAAGTATAATGCGGAATGGCCCTGGTATTCCCGCCCAACACCTTCAGAGAGCCAATGGTGTCCAGCTCGGTAGTAACTTTGGACTGTCTGGAAGCAAAACGCGTAGTGCTGGTAAGTCCACAACCTCGTCGGATGGTAAAATCCAATTGTCCGGTATCGGGCCTGGAAACAGTATTGGAAATCTTTTGCAGTTGGATGGGAATCAGAATAACGCCAAAGCCGTCAACACCCTGGTAGGAAGTAGTAGCAACCTCATCACAAGCCGCAAAAATAATGAAAATATCATCAGAAGTGGCGTGAACAATGGAATTTTTTTCAATTCTGGGAGTGGTAATAGAAAAGTCGACATCACGAGTACGATGAACGGAAACTCCGGTGGAGGCAACACAGACGTTGTAACGATTGGTAAGGAAGCGATAACGGAAGTTGCAAAACAGGCAACTGTTAACGGAGCAACAACCAAAACGAGAACTACACAGACGAGGGACGGCGGCACAGGAGGCATCCGTAGCTCCACTTCGACTGTTACAACTAGAACCACTAACAGCCCCGGGTCGGCCGCATTCCACAAAGGCGGTACATTAGCTAGTAATGGAGTTTCGTCTAATGGTTTCCGTTCCACCACGTCATCAACTACTATTATTTCGGGTCGGGAGTCACAGTCAGTTTGTCCGGGGCAAAGCCTAATGTGTGGTGCCAAGGGCCCTTTCAGCAACACCATTGGCTCCAATCTGTGGTGTATTAACAGCTGCCTCATAGATCGGCGCATGTGCAGAAGTGAAAAGTGTGAATGTAGCTGCACGCCGACCATGAGATATTATCAACAGGTGGTCGGTGTTCCAGGAAGCTCTTCATCAGGAACCATGTGGAATAATGGAGGACGTACACTCACAACATCGAGCTCATACCAGACACAAAAGCCATTCGGAAAAGTTACAACATTTGGAAAGTCAAGTAGCACAGCGAAACCGTTTGGATCAGTACAAACAGTAGAGACATTCAAGACAACCAAATCTTTCGGGAATACCAAATTATCTGATTCACGAAATGGATTTGGTAATGGATTCAGTGGTAGCAACGTCCTAAGTGGATCTAGAGGTGGATCAAACAGTGTTCGAAACGTGTCCCCGTCCGGATCCAGTGATCGTGGACGAGGAACTTCCGGAGTACAGACGGACACGGGGCTCATGAAGTGTAAGGGCCGGGGAGCGTTTGAAACAGTAACGGGAATGGTCTCGTGGTGTGAAACTGAATGTTCAGCGTCCATGAATATTAACTGCCATTCCAATACTTGTAAATGTTGGTTTGTAACATGAATAGGGTAAACAGTGTAAGTAGCGTCCTGTTATCACCTGAAAGTAAATCGACAAACATTCACCGGCATCGACCAAAAAGGCACCAAGGTGCCAGTTTTATGAAAACCAAGAACCATATTCATAAAACCGGTCTCATAGTCAAACTCAGAGTTTGTGTCCTAGCCCCGTTTCCTATTCCGGTGAAAAAGCAGTAAAATTTAATGTTTTATCAATAATTCGGAAGACTTGCAGCCGAAATTCGTTTTAAATGTCCAGACTTATGCATGTTAAAAGAAGAAGCACAGAGTCCGAGCTTGAGCATGATAACGGTTCTGATGTAAACGTACCCTCCGATGCCTGGGTGTTGTGTATAGGCACGAGTTTAGTCCGATCATGATGACCAGTCCTGTTGACCTGCGGTTATTGATTACGTGGATTCTCAGATAGGGTGTATAAGGAATTACAGGCAAATATATTACACAGGGGTTTAAAAAAAGGTGCGGGAATGTGTTTATGCATGTTGTTTAGCTGACAGGGTTACTGACACTCAGTCCAAGTACGTGTATTTATAATTTACTCGATAAACTTGAACATCAATGATCAAGTGTATATACATACACAGCGGCTGTCACGGTCTGACTAAAAGTCTTAAAATTTTATATAGCCATCCTCTGCATTCATGCATGTCTCAGTGAAACGGATTGCTTGGTCATTACAATCTCACGTGACCGGTTCATGCTACATTTCTAGAATCTGTTATCTCTGACAACTGCCGGCACGAGCCGGACACGTGACATTGCAACCTCATGTTAATTCATGTAGATATTTGTAACATAATTATTATTTCATTAAAATTATTTATTTTGTTATATGCAAGAAATGTTTGTTTGTTTTATTATGAGTGTCAATTTATATTCTACAACCACAATGTGATACCAGTGGAATCTGACCACTTATCCTAAAACTGCTCTGATGCTCAAACTCATACAGAGTATTCGGTGTCCACCTCAGATATTATGGTTTTGCTGCTCTTACTCTTGTCTTCCGTCTTTTACGAGCACCAAAAGGGAGATAACTAACCGTTTTACCAGAAAGAGTAAGGAAGAGTAACTCTGGTGGTCATGCTGCGGTAGTCGGTTGTGTTGAGCGATAAGTCAGACAATATTGATTGAATGTTACCACATACCTGTGTCTTGTCTGCTGGCTCTGAATCAGAAGAGTTCCACGTGCCATAAAGTACATGCTCTATTTCTGTGAAACGTATCTTCTTTCAAAAAGAGCTCCACTTGAAAACGATTGGTAACGCAATGAAGAGGTACACCAGGGCCCAGTTGTTCAATAGATGATTACATGTAGCTTAATCAGTGATCAAACAATGTGTTTGTTCATTTGTAAAATTCAGATGCATGTTTGCTCTAAAAATTGATCATAATTTGTTAAATGTTAAAAACACCCGTAACACAAGATCAAAACGAGACTTGAACGTGATTTAAACCACAGAAGACTACATCCTTAATTCAAGCACTTAACTTTTCGTATCTAAGCAAGTTCCCAATAGGTGCGCAAGATAACCGGCCTGTAGTTTACAAGTTGAACTGCAGACAACCAATACGGTGCACCTGTAACTTTACAGTTTAACATATGGAAGCATACAACATGTTGCGAGAATTTTAAAGTGGTCATTTACCGAGTTAAAACTTTCCAGATGTAAGTATTTTAGTAGTGTAAACTTACATACAAACACTTTGTATATTGATGAAATTATTTGAGTTTGAAAAATGTCGTTAAACAGTGATTAATATAATCATCTTTTAAACAACTGATTCCTGGTTGTGTAAGCGTTATAAACCTGTGAGCTTTTAGATATTATCATCAAACGTTTATAAGCGCGTTTCTATCTAACACAATGTCGGTTATACATGTAATGGACACTATACAGCTATATATCATGATAGTGAATATTCGTTTATCTGTTTGTTTTGTTTTGTATTGTTTTACGGCACATCGAAAACTTAAGTTATTTAGGGCCAAACAGCATTGTAATAAAGAGACAATAAACAGAATGAAAACATAATAACCCGTTTTTTGAATGTAAATAATCATAGGTTGATTGCACAGAAACTGTATCAAATAAACGTTTCATAGAGGGTACGTTATAAAATCTGTCACAAATTTGTTTCAAATCAGCGCATTCAATCATTAAGTGTTTGACTGTAAATGGTTAACCACATGCATGCCAATAAGGTGGGTTTTCCTCATGCAAAATGTAGCTATGTGTGATGTACAATGTAGGTAGGTATGGCCTTTACTTAGTTGCGAGATGTCAACTTCCTCTCTGCGGTCTGCTCTACCTTTTGCACATGAACCTACATTAGGTTGAACTGAAAATAACTTCTTGTTTGTTATGAAAAAAAACCAGAGGAAAATAAATATGGAATTAAAATTTTGAATTAAGTTTAATTGTTTTACCTGTGTTTGGTATTTGACAGTTAAGATGTTTTAAGTGCTGCAGGTACTGCACCCTAAATATGTGAACTGAATCCATGTTATAAAGTATCTTGTTAAATTATGTCTTTGTGACGACATATTTTAAGAGGAGGTAAACCAAGCGAAGTTTAGCTTATTCTCAACTAACATGTAGTATTAAGGAATAATAAAAGTATTCTTGCCGAGTGATAAACTGTAAACATCTCATTTGGTGAAAACAACATTTCGATAATAAGTACAATACCGGCTACAACCGGACACGCACGTCACACTTTGTCGCCATGGTAACGCGTGCGTTGTGCGTTGTACTGTATGTTTAGAAATGCTTAGAATAACCCCTTTGACAAAATAAAAGTGCCAAGATTAAACATAAAAACTTATAAAACGTGGTGAATATAATATTCCGTGTATATGTGTTGTCGACAATGATTACGTTTAAGAATACCATTATCAGAAAAAACCCATCCCCGAGATCATAAAACGATTTTAAGTCTAAAATGATCTGAAGTTTTGACTCAATCAATAACACATAACGTCATAAAAAGTGACGTCCTGTGTGATTGGCTAAGCACAAACTGAAGTCAAAGATTGTTTCATGATCCCGGGGCCAGATATGCCAACTTTTAGCCGCTCAAACATGCAGTTTGCAGGTTTGCATTTCTGTCTATATCCGCTAAAAAACAAAACTACAGTCATTCACTGGCTACATATGTCATACCACCTACACATGTCTAACGTCCCGGGGAATCTGTATACGTCACTAGCAGCATGTAACACTGTGTATTCACCATGTCCACACATTTGGTCAACAGGCTTCGGCCTAATTGGGACATTTCGGTGTATAAGTATAGAGTACCGATCTACAACTAATTGGAAGTTCTGTTTCTGTATCGGTTTCGTACTGATTTTATCGGTTAATTAGGACTAGTTGTCTTCAATTACCCTGACAACAAGCGTGTGGTATAAGCTACTATGTATAACGTATTTTTATCTCGAATACCAATACACAAAAACGTGGCGCATCGATATATGAATTATTTTAAGGAACAGCCTTGCTCAAGTCCGATTATGAGGCTGACGAAGGATGAGTGGCAAATTGACTAATTCGTCTGTGAATGTGGCCATTCTGTTGTGCAGTCTTACATAAAGTAACATCTAGGAAGCTTAAGGATGTCCTCATCCGAGAATTTTAAAAAAACTCCCTGTATTGTTTTATTCTTATATGCAGTTTTGGAAAAAGGAGTTCATGGTATAGTATACATGTAAAACATGCAAAAATAATTGAATGATCAGTCAAAGATACCAATTTAACGTGCGGTACCAATTTTCAGAAAAAATCATACCATATCAGATATGCATGGATATTTGCACAATTGATAAATATGGTATTTTTCTATTACCAACCGTGCACTGTTATGACGCGTCCTCAGGTATTTGTATACAGGTAGCTCTATCGGGATCTCGTGTCTAAGAATAGATGATTGTAAACAGACGAATTTAAGTCCATGGCTATTAATACATGCGTTTCACGATAAAGACTCAACAAGATGCTTAGTTCGCGTTATGCTATATGAAACCCCGTCACTTTCAAAGATATAGTGAATATGGCTATATTTGCAGTATTATATTAACAATACCGAATATATCAACAGTTAAACAAATCTTATTCAATTGGTTTATGCATTTTCGCCACTAAAACTTATTTACTCATCAATAATTTTTTCCGTTTTCAAAAATGCCGACTTGGGGAAATAGGGCAGTTTTCCGCCATAGCTCTTTCTAAATCCTATTCTTTTAACTCGGAAAAGCGATACCAATTACGCCTATCGCTTATTTTGAATGAAAAAAATACTCGTTTTTTACTATTTTGTTCTGTAACGCTTGATATAAAAGTTCTACTATTAAACTTTTTTAATATTTTACTCTTTTTCTTGAACAGCAACAAAATTTAAGGGTTTGTGTACAACTTTTCTTTCCCTTTCCTATTTGTGTTATTTTCTAACCTTTACGTGGTCAAACATCAAAAGTTTTTAGGTCACCTTTTAATCAAGTTCTCTTCAACAAATATGGTATTATTTTCAACTTGTTTAACGAAACGGTGAAAATTGTAGACAATATCCACCTCCCGTTGCCTCTCAGGTCCTTCAATTAAATATGAGGGAGAGTGGCCTGCCCTTGAAAGACGTGGACAGTGTTGACAGAGCTCCGAAAAAAAATGTGATTTCTTCCTACTTGGGGTCCAGGTTTGGTATTGACTTTGCTACTGAATGATGAGTATATCACCTGCTTGAGTACAAACTGTTTGTTACATCTATGAAATGGCCTATTCGTACGAAAATCGATACTTTGAAATTGCCCATTGTGCCATGTGACTAATGAACCGTGAACGATAGTAAACACGCTTACGTACATGTAAGAGTTGCACCTACCTATGCTACCAAGTGATCTGATATTCGCCCGTTACCTGTGATTACATATGTCTTATGTGAACCAGTCTATTCCTCTTACTTCTAAAAGGGCGTTATCCTCCTCGTCAACACCATCTCCTATCATTAGAGACACTAAAAAACTAAAACATTTACCTTTTACCTCAACCCCGTTACCCAACAGTGTGTTTGAACTTGACTTATCGTCCCAGATGGCCAATATTTCTCCTACCCTCCAGCAGGGTATCCAACATTCCCTACCAGGCATTCTACCGAATACTTTAGCCTTACCCAGCTTCTCGGAGTCCGCTAGTTTCCAACCCGCCGATCCCGGGGGTGCGAAATTATCTGACATCGACGTCCAGAGAATCGCTATGGCGGTCCGCGTCCACCTGAGTAATGATCTGCAGACCATACAACAGAATGTACAACTTGCCATACAACAGCAGATTGCTCCTCTGTTGGATAAGGTGACCAGGCTCGAGGCTGAGAATGACGACCTTCGGCATCAGCTCGACGACCTCGAGCAATACGGGAGGAGAACCCTCGTACGCTTCTCCGGCTTCCCGGAGCAGACGGGAGAGGACACCTCCGCGATCATCCTGAAGGCAGCCCAGGACTCCGGCGTCGATCTCCCTCCCCAGGCTCTGGAACGGTCTCACCGTGTCGGTAAACCGGACCAGAATCGAGCTAAACCACGCCAAATCATCGCGCGTCTGAGTTCCGTGGACGCAAAGTTTACCCTGTTAAAATCCAGTCGCGGTTTTCGCTCTAATGATCAATTCAAGCGTATTTCTGTAAATGAGGACCTCACCAAATATCGCGGACGTTTAGCCTACATCGCGAGGAACTTGGTCAAAACCAACCACATAACACAAACGTGGACTACTAACGGCAAGATCATGATAAAAGATAAATCGTCGAAAATCTATCAAATCCGGCGGGAATCAGAACTTGA